AGACGTGATACTAATGTTTCTCAAAATCAATTTGCAGTCATGCCGGGTAGGTCTACTATGGAAGCTATCCATTTATTGAGAGGTTTGATGGAGAAGTGTAGAGAGAATAAGGAAGATCTCCATATGATATTTATTGTTGTAGATAAATCATATGATAAAGTTCCAAGAGAAGTGCTATGGAGAGTGCTAGAAAAGAAAGGAGTTAGTAATGCTTATATTCAAGTCATTAAGGATATATATGCTAGCTGTTACTTTTGTTTAAACACAAGGTGGTTTGACCTAGTATTTTTCTTTTTCAGTTGGATTACATCAAGGATCAACCTTAAGCTTTTATCTTTCTGCTTAGTTATGAATGTTCTCACTAGACATTTGCAAGAGGTTGTACTCTAGTGCATGCTTTTTGCTGATGATATTCTTCTTGTTGATATGACTAGAGAGGGTGTTGAAGGTAAACTTGAATTATGGAGGTCAACCTTAAGAGTCCAAAGGTTTTCGTTTGAGTAGATCTAAAGCTTAATATATGGAGTGTAATTTTAGTAATAATAGTTCTTGTGGGGGGACTGTGACTTTGGGTGATCAAGTCTTTAATAAGAGTACACATTTTAGATATCTTGGCTCTATTATTCAGAGTGATGGTGAAAAAGATGAAGGCATTATATGTACAATTCAAGTTAGATGCTTGAAGTGGAGGAATGCATAGGGTTTGTTGTGTAATAAAAAACTTCTCCTCAAACTTAAGGGAAAATTCTATAAGATGGTGGTTAGACCTGCAATGCTTTGTGGTGTAGAATATTGGCCATTAAAAGAGTGGCATAATATTAAGTTAAGTGTTGCAAAGATGAGGATGCTCAGGTGGATGAGTGGCTTTACTCTTAGAGACAGGATACGAAATGAGCATATATATGAAAATGTTGTAGTAGCTCTAGTGGAAGATAAGATTAGAGAGAGTCGCCTTAGATGGTTTGGTCATAAAAAATGGTGGCTTGCCAATGACCCGGTTAGGAAAATAGATATATTAGAGTTGACTTATGTTTAGAAATATAGTGGTAGACCTAAAAAGACTTGGTTAGAAAGTATAGAAATGACATTTCTTTATTAGATTTAATGAGAATTTGACTCTTACCACGACACAATGAAGAAAAATGATTCAACCGACCCCACGTAGTGGTATAATGGCTTGATACTGTATTTGTTGTTGTTGTAATGTTGTCAATATTCAATTCCTATAATATTATTTAAGTTGACCCATGAATCTTACTTTCATTGCTTGACTAATAACAATTGATGAGTCCAATTTAGGTTCAAGTGAGTGAGTATTTAAATTACTTGTTTAATCTGACTTAAGGACCAACATCATAGTTTAAACAATCAATTTACCATACATCAAAGTCATTAAGCACAAGTGTGTCTACAATTAATATACATTAGTGATCCTAATATTATTTTTTGTATGTGAGAATAAGCATTTGTTTAATCATAACGGCACAAGTTCATTAAACTTAGGATTCGCCAAATAAACATTCAACATGGTTGACATTAGTGAAGAGTGATAGTGCTATGGTATGGCATCATCATGATTCAAGAGGCTTTTCTGCATTGGATTGGCTTTTAAGACAGTCAATCTATATGGGTGGGTCAAGATGGTGAACCAAAATTGGTCCAACTATAATTAAAAGTCACTAAATGAAGACCCGAAGTTCATTCACATATGTAATCAATGCTTATGGGGGGGATGGCTTGGTTTAATTTCATTTTTGTGGAAGGGAGCACACAGAGCTTCATCAAGGGGTTATAAAATACTGAAAAAGGCCAAAATCAAGAAATAACCAAGCTTATTAACTATTCCTCTCCTCACCAATGTTTCTCTCCAAAATTGCATGTGACCGATTGTTGAAGATAAGGAGAGGAAATAAATAGGCATATGAAAAGGAAGGAGGATAGCCCAACCTTTTTTATACATTGTAATCAAGATATTATACTTGTTGATACAAGTTTTTATTAATTTGAATTTGAATTTTACTTATTATGAGATGCTTTTAAATATGCTTGGTTGAAGAATGCAATGAAGGAAATTTTAGTACAGTAAAGGAAGTATCCCATAGATTGATGAGCCGGCAGTGGCAGGCATCCCATGGACTGAGGGTTATGAATGCTTCTTTTTAAATTTCTAATTAATATACTTATTACTTTTTCTAGAATTATTTAAATTCCTAATATAATATAGGCAGCTTGATGTATAATACCACTTTAATTTATGATTATCAAATAAATCATTTAGACTTTCCACCATTTTTCTTAATGGCATCAGAGCTCTAGCATAGGGTCCTAACTTTAGACCTATGTTTAGTCTAATTGTCTCATCTCTATTTACTTCCTCCATGTTTGTGAGTTCTATCATAAATGTTGGAAATAAGATCAATCAATTAAAGGTGAGTTTGGAGTTTAGAAACCTCAGATGAGCTGAATGGATAATTATTTAAAGTGGCTATGAATTGTGAAGAATTTGAAAGAAAAAGGGAAAATTCGTTGCCTAGTTTAACTTCCTCCAACCATCGATGACTCAAAATTCACACATTGAAATAAAGATGACTCCATTATTATGTTATAGCTATGAAACTCCATAATACTAGAGGTCTATGGACCTTACATGTTCCTTGCAAAAACCATTGAAGTTCGGGAAGTTTTGTGGCAGAAATATTCAAAAGTCAAAAGATGCCACTTTAATCTATCAAAGAAAAACAAAATTTTCAACCAACAAACAATATATCCTATCTGCCATGGAATCAGATATCGAATTATTCAATGCATGGAAGGTTTAGTATTTAGAATTAGGCTAATCTCAACATGAAATACAATGATGATGCTGTGGTTCTGAAATAAAATGCTGAAAGAAAAAGAATTTTTGAGTTTCTTGTGAGTTTCAACATAGAATTTGATCAAGTTGTATTTAAATCTTGGAAAAAAAGGTTATGCTCTCTCTTAATGAAGTTGTTGTATTGGTCCTTTAATTTCATAGTTTTATTTATAAGAGTTGTTTTTAATTTCTTAAAGTTTTGGGTTTTTGTTTAATTTTTTGTTTATTCAATTACCTTGAGGTGTGGTTATAAATACACCGTCACCCCTTGTTGTAAAGATAATTCTATTCATTTCTTCTTCCCTATTCTCCATTTCTCTCTCTCTATTTTCCTCTTGTGCTGGCGATCAGGATAAGATCAAGAATAGTAAGCAAGAATGATTCCCGTCCATAAGAAATTTCTATGTTGTGTGCTTATGGTGTATGTTAAAGACACAAAGTTACTGTATTGGGGCTTTTGAAGAATTGTGGAGTGGTGTTGCTCCATCCCTCTTGCGGTGAAGGATAAGAATTAGGAAGAAGGCTGGCTAAAGCCCTATGTACACAGGTGGAGATCAGGTTCTAGCCAGTGAAAAGAAGGTTTCTTAGATGAAAGCACTGAGGCCTGGTGATGGGAAGGGTTTGTTAAGAAATGATGACTATAGTGAAGATTCCATAACATTTGGGCTGCTGGAAGAAGTAAGATAAATGCGCAGGGATTTATCAAGAAGACTTCAAAGAATGTGAGCCTTCTTGGTGGCTTGTTTGCTTTATAAGGAAGATGTCGGTGACCAAGATAGAGATTGGAAAGTTTAACTGCCTCAATGATTTTAGCATGAGGCTCAAAATGAAGGCACTTTTTTATGCGCTAAGGCTGGGATGTGGTTCTATCTAAGGAGGCAATCCTGAAACTAGAATAAAGATTATGTTGAGAGGTTTTGAACAAAGAACACAACTAGTCATATGTATAGGTGTTAGCATAATAGGCTAGTTGCACAATAACATTCATTTTCTTATTTCATTTATTTCTTAATATATATTATCTTATCTTAGCCATAATATGTCATATATGGATGCCTAGATTTATTGGCATCCTAAGATAGTGAGCTATATCAAAAGTAGACTACATAAGGGGTTGAAATTCAGCCTAAAGTTACATAATAAAGTTTAATAGAGCTCAAGAATAACCCAACATTTTGCTATTAATCTATGTACACGACTTGGATCAAGAAAGAAGTCTTGTAATATGCCTCAATAATATTTTCATTCAGTTAATCATCAAAAGTCAATAATTTGAATCCAAGCCATCAATCCTTATTTATAAGAAATACATGTACGAAAAAACATCAAATATTTTGAATACAATTCTAGTTTTATTTGAAATTAACTTTAATCTCAACAAAACATTTAAGCTTAAACTCAATGTTATTCAAAATGATATTTTAATGAAATAAAATTTATCTAATAGAAAAAGCATGAGAAATTCAGCTATAATTAAGTAGGGCCTTAGAAGACTAGGAAACTAGTTCGGTGTAGCTTCATTGTAGATTGTTTTTATTCCTTTTAATTGGCCTATGAGATACATGACTTTTTTTTTTTGGGTTAGCTTGGTTGAATAATTAGCCAATTTGTATTGTCAGCCTAAAGTTTAGACTTGCTAAAGAATATTGTGTAATCACACAAGACAGATCGTTAGAGGTTGGGTTTAGAGCAAGTTTTGAGTTACCTCTAGCATAATCTAGAGATCCCAAGCTAAGCAGAGAAAGTTTTGAGTTACCTCTAGCATAATCTAGATATCCCAAGTTAAGTCATGGTAATAGCATCTTTTCAAATAAAAGGATAAAACTGCATGCATCCCTTCCTGAGACCCTTCGTTGGTGGGAGCTCCATAGATTTGTTACAACAATTTTTAAAATTTTCTCGAGGATTAATCTAACATAATTTCTTGGTTAATTGATTTATACATGGAGAAAATCCTAAGGATTAGAAAGCTGACTCAAATTAATTATTTTATCTTTAAGATTTGTTAGTGACAAGCTGTATGCCTTGAATTTTGGTTTTCTTTTTCTATCTCACAAATGGATGATTTATTTCTTTCTTTCTATTATATCTGTAGCAGTATACTTTGTCTGCTTTATTGCTTCAGTCTCTTGAATCTGCAAAAAAGTAACTTGTACCAACTGGCCTGCTATAATTTTCATGCAGGGTGTTGCTATTACCCAAGAAAATTCCTTATTAGATAATACTGCTAGAATTGAGGGATGGTTAGCTAGGTTCCCTATGTTTGATTGGGTGGGTGGTAGAACATCAGTAATGTCTGCAGTTGGCTTACTTCCAGCTGCGCTACAGGTATGCTCGTCTTGTACTTTTGAGTTGTCATTAGAAGATATTGCCGCAAAAGCTTTTTCTTATTTTTGTCATATTCTATGCTTAGGGTATTAACATCAGGGAAATGCTTGTTGGTGCATCATTGATGGATATGGCCAATCGTACAACTGTGGTATTTAAAAAGCCCTTTGGCCATAAACTTGATATATTCATTATAATATTTCTGGTAATTTATCTGTCTTATCCAGGTGAGGAATAATCCAGCTGCCTTGCTTGCTCTTTGTTGGTATTGGGCAACTGATGGAGTGGGTTCCAAGGTTTTCCATTTCTCTTTTTCATTTGTTCTTTTGTTTAGGTACGTTTTTATCATCCTGATAATTTTGGTTTATGTGTTGACCTTTTCCAGGACATGGTTGTTCTTCCCTACAAGGATAGTTTACTTCTCTTTAGTCGGTATCTGCAGCAATTAGTCATGGAATCACTTGGAAAGGAATTTGACCTTCATGGAAATAGGGTATGGATCTGCTCCTGTGGGAAAAGAATTTAACTCCACATCTACTCAAAATGCTTTCAATTTATAGTAACACTAACCTTATTGTTTGAGTTTTGATCCTATCATTAGACTAGCTACTACTTTACTAGGATATTGTTGTGTTGAATTCAAATTTGTCTATGGGTGACTCCTGACCTTACTAGTAAGCGAGCTTTGAGGGGTATTTCATAAGAACATGTGTGAGAATTGAGAGAAAAGGGAGAAAATTATGTGACAAATAGTCTATTAGCTAAAGTGTCTATAGAGAATGCCAAAATATCTAAAGTGCTCTTTTTTGCTCTTTTTTTATAGGGATCCGAGGATTACCATAAATGAAACTTCAAAAAAGAGTAAAAGCACAATAATTAATGATCCTTGTTACAAACTATTTTAAACACGTTTCACGCTCTAGTTAGCTTAGTGGAACATCTCTTATTCTTATTTATGTCTCAGGGCAAGTTCCCTTGCGCCAAGTGTTTACAGATGAGTAGGATTAGGCGACTCTTTCGATGAAGGCCGAACTGGGAAGGCTATGGCGAGGGAGGTAGTGAGCTCTATGGTCAACTAAGGCTTCGTTTGTGATAGCTTTTGGCCACTGTGTTTTGCTACTTTTGATAAAATTTTGTATTAGAAATTGCTCAAGAAAACAGTAAGAAAACTGTCCCAAACAAAGCTTAGTGTGATAGGTTGAACTAGAACCCTCTTGGAAGGATCCTCTCATATAGCTTTGATTATGAGTATGGTGTTGACGAATATTTTCATATCAACCCGACCCCGATCGAGCCCAACTAGACTCGATCGTGCTCGATCGACCCAATCGAATGTCGTCGAGACGAAATTGACTCAAATCGAACCCCGATTTAATTAAATCCAATTTAATTTAATTTAAATCAAATCAAATCAATTCCGACCCCGTCGAGCATCGCCGAACCTAATTCGACGTGATTCGACACCGATTCGAGTGGTTCAACAATAGATGATTTTGGATTTGAATTACTTGGTTGATTGACTCAACAAGCAAGATACCTTCATGTGTTTTAGTCACTCAACATGGGTTGAGTGAGATGAGATCTTCATGACAACTCTTGAGTCTGTAGAAAGGAAGGGAAATTTTCTCTACAAATTTATTTGTAGAGAAGAAAAGAGAAATGGCAACTTAGAAGTTTGCAAGGATAGAAGATCTTTCCTTGAACACTTGGCATTCAAAGAAAGGAGTTCATCCTTCCAATTTTGAGTTTGGGAGCATGGAAAATTTGATTTAAAATACTCTCCTACAATCTTGATTGTAGGAAAGAGGGAGGAAGATGCAACTTATAGTATTGCAAATTCTTCATGTCCTTTTGAAATTTGGTGTTCAAAAGGGGGAAATTGAAAATATCTCCTAAATTTAGATTAGGAGAGCGAAAGGGAAATCCCTTGAACACTTGATATTCAAAAGGGTTCTATAGCAATTCTTCTAAATTTGGGGCTCAAGAGGAATATCAAGAGTACTTGAATATTCTCCCACAACTTTGGTTTTAGAAAAAAAAAAGAATTATGCAATCTACATGTTGCCCAACTTGGAAAGGATCTCTTTAAACTTTTAGTGTTTAAAGAAGAAAAATGTCAGCCTACTTAATTTTGATTAAGTGGTATGAAATAGATTAGGAATTTGAGTTTCTATGTCTAGGAGAAATTTTACTTGTTAGTTTTGTGCTCCAAACAAGTGACATTCGAAAGAACTTAGAATTGGAATTCTAGGTTCAAAAAAAATTATTCATTATGTTTGTGTTACAATGAATAAATAACCGATAAACTCCCTACGATTTTGAGTTGAAGGGAGAAAGACATTTGAAGTTGTAAAATCCCATGTATTTCCTTAACATTTTTGTATTCAAAGGAAGTAACCATTCACTTTATTTTTATATTAAAATTGAATGCGAAAAGTTTCTTTGAATATCCGAATGTCCAAGAAAGAGATAAAACTTCACTTAATTCAAATTAAGTGAATATGGTGGTTGATCCTTAGGAGTCAAATCCCAAAGGCTTTGCTTCTATTCTTTGAGCTTTCTAGAGATCGTTTGAGAAATCTCTAACATAGGCTTTAAAGACCATAGCAAAGAAGGCATTTGTTGCCTATGCTCCAACAAAGAAATGAAGGAATTCAGACCGCAACTCTGAATTTGTTTGCTAACTTTTTAGGCCCCTCTAGAGGTCATTTAGGCACCTCTATATGGGCTTGAAGGTTACTAACAAAGGAAACAATATGTTGTTTTGTGTTATCCAACAAATGTAGAGAGAGGAAAAACTAGATTTTTGGTTCTAAGTTTTTGCATGTATCCTTTAGGCCCCTCGTAGAGGTCATTGGGCACCTCTATATGGGCTTTGAAGGTTACTTAACAAAGGAAACATTGTTGGTTTTGTGTTTCCAACAAATGGTAGCAGAGAAAACTTAGGATTTTGGTTCTAAGTTTTTGCAGAGATCCCTTTGTACCATAATTGGATGTCAAAGAGCTCGAAGGGAGGTATGCATTCTTCTAGCTTTGGAGTCTTGAAAGAATAAGCAGGGTCTCCTACAAATTTGGATTTGTGAAATGGGTGAGAGGATGAGGGTAAATGCCAACTCTGTAGATGTTGCAAGATTGAAGAGATCATTTGAACTTTTGGTGTTCAAATAAATTTCTCCATTCACTAATTCAAGTTAAGTGAAAGGATAAGTAGACTAAGGGATTTAGATCCCAAGTCCAAATGAGATATTTATTTGTTAGCTTCATGTTTAACAAACGAAAAGGGAAGAACTAGAAATTGGTTCTAAGCTCAAGGATTCATTGACAGTAGATGGAAGTTTTTGGAAAGCTTCAAGTTGGTACACATTTAAAAGAAGAAATGATGTTGGGTTGTTGCATTTTTGTCTCAACAAATGAGAGATGTGAATATTACTTGGAATTTGGGCTCCAAGCTTCTAATGATTCTTTGCAACATCTTTGGAGCTTTAGGGAAGTCCAAGTGGTTATGCAAAAAAGAGAAGATTATTAGTTTGGAACTTACAAATCAGAGACAAATCATCGAGTTTTTGTGCTCAATGATGCAAAGGCCTTCTTCTTATGCTAAGTTAGGCAAATTTTAAGGTAGCTAGATTTAGATTCTAAGCCTAAAAGGAAATTCCTTTCATCGCTTTTTGGTCTCAAAATGAAAGAAAGGGTTAGCATTAAATTTTTTGGTCCTAAGCTACAAGACTTTTCATACAATGATAGTTTGGAACTTTGAAGGTTTTCCAAATCATCATATATGAGAGGAGTGCTTGTATGCCAATTTTGTTATTATTAGCAAACGGTAGTGGAGACTTTAGGATTTGTTTCCTAAACTTTGATCATGGACTAAAATAATTGGGGGACTTAAAGACCACCCCAACTATTAATGCATGAGGAAAACCATGTACATAAGGAAGGGAACTTCCTACTCTCTACGAATATTTTGATTTGCTTGAGAGGAGGAAGGTCAACTCCCCTAAGCGTTGGAGGGTTTTCCCAAATTAAATTTAATATGATCTTTGGGGTTTGGGAAAAAGTGGTCTAGGAGAAACCTAAAGATCCATTTGCAAGATCTAAAGAGGGACCTAGAGAAACTAGGCATGTAGTGCGAACCTAGGTTTTTTTTTTTGGCAACCCAAGTTGAGAACATTCATGCAATGAAAAAAAATGGGAGCTTCGTGGTGCTCCAAATTATCGTGCATGAGGAGGGGATTCATTTGGTCAACTTTATGAATTTGACAAAACGAAGGGAAAGAAAAGATGGTTGGTTTATGTTCCAACACAAAGGTTGATTTAGTTTTAGAGTTTGATCTCCAAACTATAAAGATTCATGTATAGAAAGTATTTAGAGGCTTGGATAGTCTCTAAATACAACACATGAAAGGAATTATTGTTGATTAGGTGTGTTCAAACAAATTAAGTTATGAGAACTGGAGAGTTTGGGTCTCAAGTTTAAGTGTTCCATATGATGGGATACTTGGAGTTTAGAGAGTAGAGCTCCAAATCAGCCACCTATGGAAGTGCAAGCATTTGTTGATTTTTTGTCTCAACAAGAGAGAGTATGATCTAGGATTTGTTCCTAAAGTCATGATGATCGAAGTTGATGGAATTATCTTGGAGCTCCTTGAGGAAACTCCAAAATATCCCAAAGTGAAGGGTGATGCTGTTGGCACTCATGCAACATGGAACTTGGAACTTTGAGGAAGTTTCTAAGTGTCAAATTGAGAAAGGTTTTCTAAGTGCAATTTTGGTATGATCTAGAAGGGATTTGAAAGATCTTAGAGATACACCTAAAGCAATCGATTTCATACAGCTCTATTCAAGAACCTAAGAATATGCACTGCAAGATTTCACCATTTTTTTTTGTTTTGAGATGTTGATCATTTCAATTGCTAAAACACTAATTTAAACTTGCAAATTCATGAACATGTTTATCAACTTCATCTCAATACTTGTTTCATAAGTATTTGGAGATTGATTTAAGCATGTTAGTTAAATTTGCAAATCTTTAAATGATAGCAATATAAAATAATTTACTTTTTTCGTATTTTGCCAAGACTGTATACAAAACTTGAATCAATTATGCTCTCTTTGTGGGATTTCAACATAAGCCTTAGAAGGTTAATGTGGGCATCTCACAACATGAAGAGGCTCAGCCAATTGATTAAATTTGCCTCCAAATATTTTGCAACAGCATCCAAAAAAATTTACAAGCTTCATTCACATAAAAGAACTTTGCATTTACAAATATTTTTGAATGCTAAGACTTTTGCAAATAAAGACGCATAAAACCAAATTAAATTGAAGCTTGCAAAACACTTTTCTACTTTTAATGTGTAGAAGCATGGGCAAACATCTTAGTCTTAGAGATTTCATAGTTTGAGTGCTCATTTGTATCACCTCCATGAGTTTCACAAAACACCCAAAAAATGGATTTCTAAAAGCTTTACTAATCCTAGGATTTGCGGACATGAATCTGGAGATTCGTGTGAAATCCTACAAGAA